GTGTGTGTGTGTGTGTGTGTGTAGTCAGGTTTGCTATACACAATACCCTTAAAAGAAGCTTAAAAACAAACAAACATGCCTGTGCCAGACTGTTTCGCCGGTTGTGCGTGTTTGTGCTGTTAACTATTACCACAACCACCCACCCCTTGTCAACTCAGATGACCATATCCAAAATTGAAACAGCGTTACCTCTACAGCAAACAACATGAAGCACACAAAGACAAGCAAATCCAAAATCGAAACCGCGTTACCTCTATACTTGAGTCTATAGCAAACAAAACATGAAGCACACTAAAACGGTAAAACCAATATATTGCCGTTTTCTTGTGCAAGTCTTTCTTTGCTTTCCTTACTTGGCATTTTTGGGGTTTTTTCTTTTGTTTATTCTCACAGCTCCCCTTTTAACTGTGCCTCTCGGTACAACGCTCGCCAACATTGTGTGCGAGCTGCCCACATCCCTGTGCGCCGTAACGGCCAGCTTGCACACTATGAACGGAGGCATAGTAAAGGGGGAGGTATACGCCTGTTCATTTCTCAGCACACTTTCAGCTTGTGTGTTTCCTATTCACTTAAACCACCAGTACTTCCTAAAGGCGTGCTCGCTAACGAGCCACGGTTTTAGGAAACGTACGGGCTACTACAGGAGCGCCCAAATTCATCCGACTAAATTTCTTCTCTTTTTTTTTTCCAGCAGCTGAAAGCTGGGCCAGGTACTGGCGGTTTAATGATGCTCATCGCATGCGTTAAGTAGTGCTACAAAAAGGGAGGGAGGAAGGAAAGGGAGAGTGTGAGGAGTTATACACGAGGCAGGGGAAGAGGGAGGAGGGAGGAGGGAGAAGAGGAAGAGGGACATTGTCAATAAATACATAGAGCAAAGACAAACTTGGCAGGGTTCTCCATTCTCACCACTACAGCAGACTACTATCGAATGACACAAGAGGCCCGTCACTGTTCGGTTGTAGGGAGATTCGAGTTCAAAAAAGCAGGCGTTGCTTATGGTAAGTGGCCATCCCTGCAGACCGGACAGGACCGGTTCGGGTATGTACTGCGGAAGCACCGCATCCAATTCTCACAGTTGCACTTGCTGCATCGAATGGCATGGCATAGACAAATGGCGTGGGCCACATGGCTGCTACATGCTAGGAACACAGGCACACCGACCGCAATTGTATAGGCACTGCCGTTCCAGTCCGTTCGGCGTTCACAAATAGGACATGCCATGTCAAGGTGTCGCACAGGACGCCAATGTTGACTGTCGCCATCACAGTGTGGCATTGAGCAAGTTTTTTCTTGGGATGACAGGGCCTGATACAAACTAAGGGTGTTTAGCTGTTGCAAGATCTAGTCTTCACCCGCTCGCCCTCGGGACAATTGTCAAAACCTCTCTCTCTCTCTCTCTCCACAAACCATAACAGACAATCCATAAAAACAAAAACAAAAAAGTATAGGTGGGCAATATAATAGAAGACGCAAGGTTCCCCATGTTTGTGTGAAGTGCCCACACACCCGTTTGTGTGGTTGAGCGGGAAGTGCGCACACACACCTGTCCGTCTGCCGCCAAAGTGGCACACTTGCCACACACACCCGTCTGCGACCGTCTATAGCTCAAATGAAAACTGCTGTTGAGAGAAGAAGTGCGCAATACCACTTTTCGCTTTTCCTGCCCACCTGAAGCAATCGACAATTTCTTGAGGTGGTCGGAGGCCAGCATTACAAGTTCCTCAATTTCTGTATGTGTCGTCCTTGCACAAGGGCCCTGCTAATCTTCTGTGTATCATTCCAACTTTAACGGATGTCCTATGGAGGCATTACAGACTACCATTGGCAGCTCAAGAAACAGTACACACGACATCTGGCTGGCCCTGGCACGGAATGCAGAACTCTCCCACCCTTCTTGCGAGTTCTGCCAAAGAAAAGCCATCCTCAGCTGGCAGGTTCCTGTTGCCTACATTGGGGATGCTAAAGTTCTCCCTGAAGCACATCGCACAAGGGACTAGACTGTACCTGCACCGCCCTTGCCATTTCCCCTAATTTGGGGTTGTAGAAAACTGGGACACGGCAGCTAGAGTGATATGATCTGCAGTCTTGTAGACGAACGTGACGGAACGAGATGAGGCCATCACATCCCAGCATGACTACTGTGAAAAGGTCTTCGGTTTCTCATTTTTCTTCTCCCTTTTGTTCTTCAGCCCATCATCACCCTCCGCATGTCCCCCAACCAGAAAAGAGACCTAGTTAGCCTAATGGCCATGGCTCCATCTATTCTAACAAGCACATAGTCCTCTCTCTCCCGCCCCCCCCACACACACACCTTCCCATCAGTAGCAGGCCATTTGCAATGGAACCTACTTACACTTCAACCACCGATACCTACCACATTTTTCGTATTCCCCCAGGTTGAATGAATATGGACCCGACGGGCAGACCGATTCGGCTACCGCGTTAACGGCCGCAACAACCAGTAGGTACTGGTGGCTTAAGTGCCTGAACTGCAGACATGAAGTCCCATCATCTAGCAGCAGCCCATCTGCTTCAGCTCGACCACGTCGAAGTCCACACCCAAAACTCCCAAAGAGTACCAAGGATAAAGGCAAAGGAGGGAGGGCAAGACCTCTGTGAAATGACGGATTGGGATAATAGTATCATAAATGTCATAATACACAAAGACAGGTGACTACGTTGACGAACACGAAAATTATGGTGATATGTCTGCTGTAGCATGGGCTGGTGGTTGTTGATGAAGTAGGGCGATCACAGTTAGATTCCAAAAAAAAACTCTGAAATGGGCAAAAACATGAAGGACAGAAAAAGACTTCGCAGCGAACCGCCAGCGCCGTTGGGTTAGCGCTTCGACACCATCGTCGCGCCATTGCGACACCAAGCCATCGCGCCATTGCCATTACCGCGCCATCGCGACACTACCGTCGCGCCACCGCGACACCAAGCCATCGAGCCATTGCCTTTGCGCCAGGGTGYTAGAGTRTCTTTGAACCGACCMAAGCACMRCTCCATTCGGGTATCGTGCAAACCCGACATCGYGCCACCRAGCACATCAAGCTCGAAGAATAAGCGGGCCAGGTCGTAGTGCCTGGCCCGCTCACACGTATTACGGCAACGTGGTCAGGGCGCGGAAGGGTCAGCATAAGGAGAGAGAGAGAGAGAGAGAGAGAGAGAGAGAGAGAGAGAGAGAGAGAGAGAGAGAGAGAGAGAGAGAGAGAGAGAG